AAGCAAATATCAGGACAGTCCCGATAAAATCGGGACGTCTGGTCACCCTAGCTCAAGTTCTCCTAAACCCATTCCTTCTGTCACAGTATACAGGCTGGCCAGAGCGCTCCAGTTTGAGATCAGCAGAGTGTGGCAATTCTTTGATTGTCCCAGGAGGACACCATGTTGACAAATACATTTTATGAACAGGAGCTACAGTGTTAATGCCTGACCATACCCTGACACATGCTGAAATTCTGAAGATATAGATTCAGCTCACAGCAGAACCCAAACTCACCCCCACTTCTCCTATGCACCTGCCAGGGGGCCATTTCAGATTTTGGTGAGGCGGGGGGACTTTAACGGGGATTCCAGGGATTACTTAGGCACCTGAAAACGCTACTTTTTTTGCCGATAACAACTTAGACATTAGCTGATCGGAGCACTGTATCTAATTCCTATATAAAAAAGAGGATTAAATAAATATTAGACCCATTCAGCTCTAATACTAGCATGTTTTCACATCTTGTGTCAAGTTACTTAAGGGACACTCAGGATAGGTTTAAAATTGTAATGCATATTCTTTGTTATTAACCCTTGAATACAACAATTGAAACAACTATAGAAAAATCTAGATTACTTTCTATCACTTTTTTGCTGTTCATCAATAGATCATTTAACATTGGAAACATCCTACTAGGGCAAGTCCCCATGAGTTTATACTGCACCTGCCTGAGGCTCTAGGGGTGTTACCTCACTACAAATAATGGACTAGAAACTAACCTTAAACAGGAGTGAAACTGACACTTTCCAGTTACTTTCACAGTATTGCCAATCCCAAAAGTTCAAAAATCATGAATCAGGCTCACCAAAAATCATGATATTGGCTTTAAATCATGAGATTATGTAAAAATAATAGATTTGGTGTTCTTTTTATTTGCCTTCTGCTTTTTGAGCCTTTAGGATGCACTGGAGTCACATTTTGAATCTTGCTCCACAGCCACGAGGGCTAGAAACTTCATTTTTCTTTAAGAATGAAGGCTGAAATCTTCACATATCCGCTTGACTCCAGGAGCTGGGGCTTTAAGGAAAACTATTATCATGAGACTCATGACAAAATCATGAGAATTGTCAACACTGCTTTTACTTCTGT